CTTTACAGCAGAAAAAAAGGTGTTTACAGTCTGCAACAAAGACCGATTTTGGTCTATATAGCTAATATTACTCTTAATGACAAATGTGAGGGGGTGAATATTTTTTATAACTCATCTGTTTGGTTTTTGTTAGGTTATATTAAGTCTGCATAATCAAAGGCGTGGCCACTTGAGTGACAGCTAGGTCTCGCAGTGGTCACCGTCACTTCACCTCAGCTGATTCCGGCTGATTAGCTGCTGAACTTGGCATATACATGGTATTTTTGTTTTGTTTTATTTGGCTTTACACAGTCAGTTGCCAGTCATACGAACAATGTTTAGTGCAGGGGTCACCAACATGGTGCCCGCGATCACATGTGTTGCCCGCAGGCCTGTTCCAAAAATAGCTTACCATAGCGCCACTTACCAGTAAGCTCCATCTAATATAAAAGTAATCATTTAAAAATGTTAATATTAGCAGAGATATATAAAAATAAAGTGTTGCTCATTGATACATTAAATACAGGGTATTTCCTACCCTGTTAAATCATTGTTGAAATTTGTTATTTGAGAAATGTTTATCAAACTGGTAGCCCTCCACATTGATCGGTACCCAAGAAGTAGCTCTCAGTTTCATAAATGTTGGTGACCCCTGGTTTAGTGGCTCAGTGTATTACAACAGCGTTTTTAAAAATGAAAGACTTTATTGATATAGTGAACAACCAAGCACATGTGGTCAGAACACAAACGAGTCACATGTATTGAAGTATTAAGCATTTCTCCAATAGGAAAGCCTGTCTAAGCAAAATGCTAGCAGCTGTCTGTAACTCCGCTCACGCTCCGCCTCTTTGCCCTTGTTTGGTGTCCCCCGGTTTGACGCGCGAGCAAAATGTCGACGATTGGCTGCGCCTACTGGTAGCTTCTTTTGGGTTCTTCATAAAGCTATGGGTGACGTCACGGATTCTACGTCAATATCTTTTACAGTCTAGGATCAGAACTGTTGATGTCTGCTCCATTTGATTTGCAGTGTTGGGGAATGTTACTTTGGTATGTAATGCATTACAATATTGAGTTACTCTCCTAAAAAGTTACTAGTTGCATCACTTAGCAACTTTTTATGGTCAGTAATGCTTTATACTTTCCCAGTGATGGGTTGCGGCTGGAAGGGCATCCGCTGCGTAAAAACTTGCTGCATAAGTTGGCGGTTCATTCCGCTGTGGCGACCCCGGATTAATAAAGGGACTAAGCCGACAAGAAAATGAATGAATGAGTAATGCTTTATACGCTACTTTCGAGTTACTTCTGTGTTACTTTTTTTTGACCTGGGTGAGGCTTGATCTCCTTCAGACCTTGTTTTTTTCATCTTCTTTTATAAAAATAGAAGAGCTCTGCATTGAACGCAGTGCTTAATTTGTTAATTGTGAGGTGGGGTGGGGTTGGTGTGAGAAGGGGGATTGGTAAAATGAGATGCTGGATCAGATATCAGAGGCACAAGTTAAGCCCTGAATGAACAACACACTGCATAACTATAATTTACCTTTAAAAAAACACATCAAATAATTATAATTTAGGATAATGTTATCCTCTGAGAACTTCCTAATGTCTATTTATGCTATATATACAGATTAATGACAGTTTAAAGCAGTGCATTTGCTTCTTTTGTACTTTTTTGTCTCATTAGTAAAATCAGTGTGCATTGAGACTATAATCCCTTTCTCCTTTTCTTCCATGTGTTCAGAATAATGCAAATATTTCCATTGTAGAAATGTAAGGCTCAGCCATCTCGATTTCTTTCTGCTCCTGTATTCTCTCATCCAGCAACTTATTTTTTAAAAGCAAATGAATTACACAAAAGAAAGTCGATTCAAATAAAAAAAGCCTCAAATATTATTGCTGATTTTTTTATATTAATGCATTACTGCTGATTTGCAGATTCATGTTAGTCTGAAACTCACGGGCCAGCAGCAGGAGTCCTGCAATCATGAGTCCGATGGCTGCAGGACCGAGTCTGGAAGACAGAGGAAGAAGACCGCGACACGTGTGTGGTGATGAACATTCACACACAGACACAAACATGACCACGTCTGACTGCAGCGCTTGCTGATCCTGGATCTTCAGAGGAACTGTGTAGTTTCCATACGGCAGACTGGTCAGACTTATCAGAGAGCTGTTTAACCCTATGGGGAAATCACAGAAGACGTCAATAAACATGTGAAACAGGGATTTTATAAAGACTGCCCTAAAAGACTGATAGCTCCGCCCTAAAAGACTGATAGCCACACCCTAAATGACTGACAGCACCACCCTAAATGAATAATATCTCCGCCCAAAAGGACTCAAAGACCTGCCCTAAATAACTGATAGCTCCAGCCCTAAAAGACTAATAGCCCCACCCTAATTTTTTATTAATAGCTCTGCCCTAAATGACTTATAGACCTGCCCTTAAATACTGATAGCCCCGCCTTAAGACTGATAGCCACACCCTAAAGTACTGTTAGCACCGCCCTAAAAGACTGATTGCCACACCCTAAAGTACTGATAGCCCTGCCTTAAAGGCCTGACAGCCCCACCCTAAGCTACGGATAGCTCCACCCTAAAAGACTAATAGCCACACCTTAAACGGAATGACAGCAGAGCCCTAAATTACTGATAGTTCCACCCTCAAAGACTGATAGCCCCACCCTAAAATACTGATAGCTCCGCCCTAAGAGACTGATAGCCCCACCCTAAAAGACTTATAGCCACACCTTAAAATGAATAACAGCACCGCCCTAAATTACTGATAGCTCCACCCTCAAAGACTGATAGCCCCACCCTAAAAGACTGATAGCTCCGCCCTAAGAGACTGATAGCCCTACCCTAAAAGACTAATAGCCACACCTTAAAATGAAAGACAGCAGAGCCCTAAATTACTGATAACTCCACCCTCAAAGACTGATAGCCCCACCCTAAAAGACTGACAGCACCACCCTAAGCTACTGATAGCTCCACCCTAAAAGACTTATAGCCACACCTTAAAATGAATGACAGCAGAGCCCTAAATTACTGATAGCTCCACCCTCAAAGACTGATAGCCCCACCCTAAAAGACTGACAGCACCACCCTAAGCTACTGATAGCTCCACCCTAAAAGACTTATAGCCACACCTTAAAATGAATAACAGCACCGCCCTAAATTACTGATAGCTCCACCCTCAAAGACTGATAGCCCCACCCTAAAAGACTGATAGCTCCGCCCTAAGAGACTGATAGCCCTACCCTAAAAGACTAATAGCCACACCTTAAAATGAAAGACAGCAGAGCCCTAAATTACTGATAACTCCACCCTCAAAGACTGATAGCCCCACCCTAAAAGACTGACAGCACCACCCTAAGCTACTGATAGCTCCACCCTAAAAGACTTATAGCCACACCTTAAAATGAATGACAGCAGAGCCCTAAATTACTGATAGCTCCACCCTCAAAGACTGATAGCCCCACCCTAAAAGACTGACAGCACCACCCTAAGCTACTGATAGCTCCACCCTAAAAGACTAATAGCCACACCTTAAAATGAATGACAGCAGATCCCTGAATTACTGATAGCTCCACCCTCAAAGACTGATAGCCCCGCCCTAAATTACTGATTGCTCCACCCAAAAGACTGATAGCCCCACTGTAAAGGACTGATAGCCCCGCTCTAAAGGTTCTGGTAACTGATTAAAGTTTATCAAGGCAAATTAGTTTTTACAAAAGTGCACAGATACATTGTCTTAACAAGCACTACTATATAGATATAAAAATAAGTAGAGGACATTTTGATTTCATGCTGACACTACTGAACCCGTACCTTGACTTACCAACCCAATAACTGACCCAAACAACTAAACCCTGTTACTAACCAACCCTTAAACCATCCCATACTCACACAGCTGTACTGAAGATAGTTCATTACTGAAACTTGTGCAACTGTTGAGCTGAAACCAATGAGCAGAGCTGAGTGTTTACACTGCTGACATTTGTCTAATGTTTTTACAATGTAAAACAGACTTGAGTTAAATAATTAGATTAACATTCTGACGCTGTCCTGACCTGTGGTGGGATCCAGCTTCCACAGTTTCTTCATTTCTTCATCTCCCAGAGAGAAGGTGAAAGGACCGGAGAACGGCGGAGCATCATCATCTGCGGGAAACACTCGGACACGGTTCATATTGTTCGCACACATGACCGTTTTATTGGAGGGCAGATAGGGGGCGTTATCATTCAAGTCACCCAAATACACCACCACGGTACATGTCCCTGTAGCAGGAGGTTGGCCTGTAAACAAGAGTTGATGACCGCTCTGTTAGAAGCTAAAGAGTAACAACACAATATTACAATTAGAGGACATTTATAAAACATTTCTCTGGTCTGAGATTCTGATTGGTTGAGCTGCATTCTAAGCTGTTGTAAAGTACTCTACAATCATACAAGCAGATGGCGCTCTAGGTTAGTTTAACAGCAGACAGTGCTCTACGTTAATGTTTAATAGCAGATGGCGCTCTAGGCTAGTGTTTGACAGTAAACGGCGCTCTAGGCTAGAGCTTAACAGCAGAAGGTGCTCTAGGGTAGTGTTTGACAATAAACGGCACTTTAGGCTAGTGCTTAACATTAGACCGCGCTCTAGGCTAGTGTTTAACAGCAGATGGCGCTCTAGGCTAGTGTTTGACAATAAAAGGCGCTCTAGGCTAGAGCTTAAAATTAGACGGCACTCTAGGCTAGTGTTTAACAGCAGACGGCACTCTAGGCTAGTGTTTAACAGCAGATGGCGTTCTAGGCTAGTGTTTAACAGCAGATGGCGCTCTAGGCTAGTGCTTAACATTAGACGGCGCTCTAGGCTAGTGTTTAACACCAGAAATCGCTCTAGGCTAGTGTTTAACAGCAAACAGTGCTCAAGGCTAGTGTTTGACAATAAACGGCGCTCTAGGCTAGTGCTTAACATTAGACGGCGCTCTAGGCTAGTGTTTAATAGCAAATGGCTCTCTAGGCTAGTGTTTAACAGAAGACAGTGCTCTAGGCTAGTGTTTAACAGCAGATGGCGCTCTAGGCTAGTGTTTAAAATTAGATGGCGCTCTAGGCTAGTGCTTAACATTAGACGGCGCTCTAGGCTAGTGTTTAATAGCAAATGGCTCTCTAAACTAGTGTTTAACAGAAGACGGCGCTCTAGGCTAGTGTTTAACAGCAGACAGTGCTCTAGGCTAGTGTTTAACAGCAGATGGCACTCTAGGCTAGTGTTTAACATTAGATGGCGCTCTAGGCTAGTGTTTAATAGCAGATGGCGCTCTAGGCTAGTGTTTAACAGCAGATGGCGCTCTAGGCTAGTGTTTAACAGCAGACGGTGCTCTAGGCTAGTGTTTAACAGCAGACGGCGCTCTAGGCTAGTGTTTAACAGCAGACGGCGCTCTAGGCTAGTGTTTAACAGCAGACGGTGCTCTAGGCTAGTGTTTAACAGCAGACGGCGCTCTAGGCTAGTGTTTAACAGCAGACGGCACTCTAGGCTAGTGTTTAACAGCAGATGGCGTTCTAGGCTAGTGTTTAACAGCAGATGGCGCTCTAGGCTAGTGCTTAACATTAGACGGCGCTCTAGGCTAGTGTTTAACACCAGACATCGCTCTAGGCTAGTGTTTAACAGCAAACAGTGCTCAAGGCTTGTGTTTGACAATAAACGGCGCTCTAGGCTAGTGCTTAACATTAGACGGCGCTCTAGGCTAGTGTTTAATAGCAAATGGCTCTCTAGGCTAGTGTTTAACAGAAGACAGTGCTCTAGGCTAGTGTTTAACAGCAGATGGCGCTCTAGGCTAGTGTTTAAAATTAGATGGCGCTCTAGGCTAGTGCTTAACATTAGACGGCGCTCTAGGCTAGTGTTTAATAGCAAATGGCTCTCTAAACTAGTGTTTAACAGAAGACGGCGCTCTAGGCTAGTGTTTAACAGCAGACAGTGCTCTAGGCTAGTGTTTAACAGCAGACGGCGCTCTAGGCTAGTGTTTATTAGCAGATGGCGCTCTAGGCTAGTGTTTAACAGCAGATGGCGCTCTAGGCTAGTGTTTAACAGCAGACGGCGCTCTAGGCTAGTGTTTAACAGCAGACGGCGCTCTAAGCTAGTGTTTAACAGCAGACGGCGCTCTAGGCTAGTGTTTATTAGCAGATGGCGCTCTAGGCTAGTGTTTAACAGCAGATGGCGCTCTAGGCTAGTGTTTAACAGCAGACGGCGCTCTAGGCTAGTGTTTAACAGCAGACGGCGCTCTAAGCTAGTGTTTAACAGCAGACGGCGCTCTAGGCTAGTGTTTAACAGCAGACGGCGCTCTAGGCTAGTGTTTAACAGCAGACGCTGCTCTAGGCTGGTGTTTAACAGCAGACGGCGCTCTAGGCTAGTGTTTAACAGCAGACGGCGCTCTAGGCTAGTGTTTAACAGCAGACGGCGCTCTAGGCTAGTGTTTAACAGCAGACGGCGCTCTAGGCTAGTGTTTAACAGCAGATGGCGCTCTAGGCTAGTGTTTAACAGCAGATGGCGCTCTAGGCTAGTGTTTAACAGCAGATGGCGCTCTAGGCTAGTGTTTAACAGTAGACGGCGCTCTAGGCTAGTGTTTAACAGCAGACGGTGCTCTAGGCTAGTGTTTAACAGCAGACGGCGCTCTAGGCTAGTGTTTAACAGCAGATGGCGCTCTAGGCTGGAGTTTAACGGAATTGTGTGTGTTTTTACAGTGTAGATGATCTGTATACAGTGAGTAGAGAGTGTTTGCTGCTCACCATCATCTATAGCTTGCACTACAACAGTGTAGGTGCCGTTCCTCACAAACGGAGACTCGCGGTCCATCGTCTGAACTGTGGTGATCTTTCCTGTCTTTGGGTCAACGCTCACCCACTTGGCAGGATCTTTCACTAACTCATACCTGCACACACACACACACACACACACACACACACACACACACACACACACACACACACACACACACACACACACACACACACCCACACACACACACACACACAGAATTTGTTTTTGTGAAAAGTGGGGACATTACATAGGTTTCCATTCATTTTAAATTGTTCAAACCGTATATTATATTGCCCTCACCCCACCCTACCCCAAACCCAACCATCACAGGAGACTGCGTGCAGCTTTACTCTCTGATTAAACTCATTCTGTAGGATTTATAAGCATTTTGAGAAATAAGGACATCACCAATGTCCTAATATTTCCCCTAGTTTTTGTAATACCTGCGTCATACCCATGTCATTATACAGATTTCTGTCCTGATATGTCACAAAAACACGTACACACACACACTGTAAATCATGGACTAACATTTTTTTCTACATCTGATTAACTTACGATTAACTTTAGTGCTTTTCCCAATATTTGTTTCAAGGCAGCTTTACAAAAGATGACATTAATTGAAAATTAAAGACTGTAAGTTGGCGGTTCATTCCGCTGTGGTGACCCCAGATTAATAAAGTGACTTAGCTGAAAAGAAGATGAATGAATGAAGGCTGTAAGTTACCATAACTTCATCAGTTACTAATAACTTCAACTAATTAACTAGTAATTAATAGCTTTTAACAGTTAAAGTTATTATAAGCATAGTTAACCTGCAGTTATAGATGATGTCTTTGTGTACATGTTCAATGAAGTGTATTTGTGTATTAGTGTGTGTGTGTGTTTAAACAGGCATTAAGTTGATTGTACACACATGAAAGTGATATTTAAGCTAACGCTCATCCACACCTGATGTTGTTGACGTCTGAATCTTCATCTTTGATATCCGGGGTGAACAGCACATCTCCTGGTTTCCCGTTCTCGTTGCGGTAAACTTTCTCAATAACCTTCTTAAACACTGGCGGATCGTTCAAGTCGATGACTTTCACTGCCACTTTGGTAGTTTGTGGCTTTGGTGGCGGAGCAGAAGTGCGTTTTCCATCGACACACTGGAATATTTTCTCCTCGTTCTCCACCGCAATCTCCAGCTGTGTGATCTCGGTCTTCTCGAAATTCTTCCCCTGTGAAATACAAGATAACAGCATCTGCAGTCTGATCGTCTCAATATAGTGCAATGATAAATGTTTCAATTGCAGCAGATGTAAACTATTAAGCTGGTTGTGATAACACTGTTATATCAGAATTAATACATTAATTATACAGTTAAAGTCAGAATTATTAGACCTGCTCTATTTATGTTTCCCCAATTTCTGCTTAATGGTAAGATAATAGTTCAATAACTCATTTCTCTCTTTGCCATGATGACAGCCTAATATTAGACTAGATATTCTTCAAGACACTGGTATTCAGCTTAAAGTGACATGTAAAGGCTTCACTAGGGTAATTAGGGTAAAGTTAGGGTAATTAGGCAAGTCATTGTATAACAGTGGTTTGTTCTGGAGACAATCCAACACTAATATTGCTGAAGGGGTGAATAATATTGACCTTAACATGACTTATTAAAAACTGCTTTTATTCTAGCCCAAATAAAATAAATAAGATTTTCTCCAGAAGAACAAATATTAGAGGAAATAATGTGAACAATTGCTGAATCTGTCAACATCATTTGAGAAATATTTGACAAAAACTCACAGGAGGGATAAAAATTCTGACTTTAACTAAATATAAAACCTAAACAGAAATAGGTTTACAAAATAAAAACTGAAACTAAAACAAAAGCATTAATCAAATGAGCTGAAACTAAACAGAAATGTACAGCAAATTATAATATAGCATCGACATAAAGCTATTTATTTATTTATAATTTATAAATACAAAACTTTAATAACCTTGGTATGCTCACAGTTAGTGCATTGTACGAAATTATCAATTTAAATTAAATTAATCGTAGCTGCTTATTAATTAAGGCCATTTAATAAAAAGTAGAATCGAATTAACGAACTGACGCACATTTGTTATATGAAATATGCTGACTTACGGGTCAAAAAACGCCCGTCACCATTTTACCAGCAGACAAAAACACCTAAACAATGTTTGATTTTTTTTAACTTGAAGTTTGGTGACTTTTTCTACATTAGAAAAATATAATCCACATAATAACATAATCTACATCTATACCCTGCTGTAAAAATCCAGCTTAAACCAGCCTAGGCTGGTTGGCTGGTTGACCAGGCTGGTTTTAGAGGGGTTTTGGCCACTTCCAGGCTGGTTTCCAGCCATTTTCAGCCTGGTCTTAGCTGTTTAGGCTGAGAGATGACCAGCTAAAACCAGCTTGACCAGCCTAGCCAAACAGGGAGTCCAGCCAAAACCAGCTCCAGCTTAAACCAGGCTGTTCAAGCTGGTTTTAGCTGGATTTGGCTGGTCATTTGACAACCGTTGACTGGTCCGCAGTTTGGGGACCACTGACTTAAATGATGCTATGGTTAAATGTAAATAAATTACAGTAAAAGTACAGTAAAATTGTCATACTGTAAAATTAAATGTGGTAACGAGCATTTTACCATTAAAAGAAGTTGGAGTAAAGCTGTTTTACTGTGAAATGAATTTGTAAAAGCCACTCTAAAGCACATTTACAGGTATGTTACTGTAAGGGGCAGTGCTGCCAGTAAGATACCGCAAAAATACAGTAAAAAGTCTAACACTGTGAACAGATTTGAGGCTTGAAGTGAAATCGATCTGATTTATTTTAGAGGTTCAGTGAAGGCAGGACATTTCTTACATAATAGTGTATACAGATTTACAACAGGAGGGTAAAAAAACAGGGTGATTTACCTTGATTACTGACAGCACTCCCTGGTTGGTTTTAGGGTCTGTGACGATCCTGTAGTATCCCTCTTCATTCCCCTTCAGGATAGAGAAAACAGCTCGTGATGCAGGAGTGTTCGGCGTGTCTTTGTCTGTGATATTAATTCTCAGGATCTCCTTGTTTGACTCCATTTCCATCACTTCAGCGTTGTACTGTTGAACACATGCACAATCATTTGTTTAAAGCATATCTCATCACACACAAGCGTGTGCGCTACATTGAAACTGCAAGCCAACTAATTCTCATTATAGTGTTAGGACATCCGTCACTATGCTGACTCATAGGCAATAGTAGCTCCGCCCTCTTCTGAAAAGAGCACAATCTCATTTGCATTTAAAGTGACAGTCACCAAAACAACACAATTAGGATCAAAGTCTGAAAGGGTCAAGTACAGAGAGCTGGAGGACATTATTAGCATGGTATTTTCAGCTGAAACTCCACTACACATTCATCAGAGATGCATTTTACATCAGCAAATAGGGGTATAATAGATCATCTTTAATGTGAGATTGTCAGTGTGCAGACTCACTGTAGTGGAGCTGAACTCTGGCTGGTGGGTGTTGGAGTCTGTGATGTTCACAATAACAGTTGCTGTCGAAGACATCGGAGGCGTGCCTTTATCCTTTGCTTCAATTAGAACCTTATACGTCTTTGCTTTCTAATAACACAAGAGATAGAAGAGATTAAAAATACAGATGAATGCTGCAAAACCAGCACCCGCACTGAAAAAAGTTAATCATTGTGTTTACAATTTAAGGCAAGTGGCCGCAAACTATTTTCTATGGGCTGAATTTAAACAAACAATTTAAATGTAGTAATGCTCAACTTCATTTGTATAAATTCAGCCTATATTAATTGTTTGCAACCACTTACCTTAAAAAAATAGGGGTAGATACAATTAAAACAGATTTTTCCACTGTGGCGTCAGCTACTCACGTCGAAATCAAAGCATCCCGAGAAGGCGAGCTGCTTGTATTTGTTGGTCTGTGGCATGTCCCTCAGGCTGAACACTGGGACGGCTGGATCTTGTGAAACCACACGCATAGTGAATTCAGAATTGTAAGTGTCCTTCTGATCGTTGTCGTGAGCCTGTAATGTTGCTTGGATTGGGCCTATAGAAACAAGCAGGATGAGAAACTAGGATGAGATACTACGCAGGCATTATAACCACCCGCTTCGAATTTTATTACTCGATTGAATGTGTGTTTTCCCACAGATGGGTTGCTGCTGGAAGGGCATCCGCTGTGTAAAAATGTCCTGGATAAGTTGGTGGTTCATTCCACTGTGGTGACCCCGGATTAATAAAGGGACTAAGCCGAAAAGAAAATGAATGAATGATTGAATGAATGAATGGGCGTTATCAGCTGATAAATATGGGCCAGTAGGGGCCTTCTGAGCCTACTGGTAGGCTAAGAAGGCTGTTATCATCCATCCATATGGTTAATCAGGTATACTAATAGAAAAGATCTGTTTTTACATTACTGTGATGGTTGGGTTCAGAGTTGGGGTAGGGGTAGATGTTAATAAAATATAATTAATAGGAAATATGATAAATAATATAAATAATGCTCAATAACTCTGGGTTGGTGTGGGTTTCCTCCGGGTGCTTCGGTTTCCCCCACAGTCCAGACACATGCACTATAGGGGAATTAATAAACTAAATTGGCTCTAGTGTATGAGTGTGAATGTGAATGTGAGTGTGTATGTTTCCCAGTTCTGGGAGACAGCTGGGGCTGGGAATGATGCGATTCACATGAATGAAGCAGTGCGATTTTATCACTTCGCGTGAATCACTCGAGTTGGAAAACTTGATCTTCAGCAGACATTCGATCTGTGTTAACCAATCAAGAGCTTGCTCTTGTAGGGGCGTGATTATGACGTGGCACTTGTTGTTGGTGTCCCGGCGGAAATCCTCTTGCTGACACTGGACAACAGCTTATCAAACTGAGCTCAGCTCAGTCAGAAGCACAGATGAAAGCCTCCATCATCCAGGTATGGTTTTTGAAGGAGTTGGTGAACTCAGAGCAGGGTGCACTTCTGAAAGGATCTAGTGGACTCAGACACGGCACCAAACAAATCTACGCTGTTTTTCAGCTTTCCTAAAGCACATGAACTGCTCTCTCAATAAAATCCATGTCAGACATTCGGCAACAAAGTCACCTGGCAGACAGAAGCCCTGCCCATGAAACGAATCTGAGTCTATTGTGAAGTCAACTCTATTTAAGTGTGAACAGCGCAATTTATCTGCATGTGCCGTGTCTGGTGTGAACGCAGCATTAGAGTTGACTGCAGCACTTGGATTAGGAATCAACTTTTCAATATCGAATAAACTGAGAACTGTTTCTATTATTGAATAAAGCTTTATGAAGATGAAAGCAGAGCAAGCTGCACTTTATATCATCATGTATATGGTAATGTGTATACTGAACCTTCAAGTGCGTTCTCTGGAACTGATGCGGGGATGGTGGTCGGAGTGAACAAAGGTGCGTTGTCATTCAGGTCCTTAATTTCCACATTAAATGACAGTGTTCTGTCCAGCGGGGCTCCAGTGTCCTTGTCCAGCACATCGAAGTCCACCTACGAAAGCATAGACATGCCACATCAGCGTGAACTGCTGTATTGTTTTAATAAGCTGTGGTATTTACTTATATGGGAGATCTCACATGAAATATAGGGTTGATTTCCCTGTCAATAGCCCGGTGTACGAAAACTGACCCAGTGTTTTCATTGATGCTAAACAAACCAATGGGCGGTGTGGTCACGCCTTCTCCTGAGATGCGGAACTTGACGTTTTCCTGCTTTTTGTCATTGAACATCTGGATAACAAATTAACATTTTAATATTAATTAATGCATTTGTGCAGTTTGGATAAATCAGTCAGTCAAAAATTGCATTTCTTACTATTTACTCTCCCTTAAATGGTTGTAAACTTTTATGCGGCACAGGCTCATTGTGGATACATACCCCTGAATATGTTCCTGGAGAGCGCGAATTATGTAGCCAGAGGTATTGTCATTAAAATGAATGGTACGGGGCGGTGTGACGCCTTCGACAGCTTCTGTTCTTTTCACGCCACCTGCTAACAGTTTGACCAGTGGCTTGCAGCGTACATTGGTGGACTTAGGACGTGAAGCGGAGTTGACCGCAACAACGGTATTCGAGTCTGGTAAAGAAAGGTTCCAGAAAGCAGGTAAAACAAAAAACTAAAGCAAAACATTAAATAGAAAAGTAAATAACAGTGTGAGAAATTTGCTAAAAATCTGGCAGCCGCGAGGGCTTTTCTTTTTCTGGATTGCTTCTGAAATAACTATTGGTTGAGTTTATAGGAAGAGGGTGGTTTAGTCAGTCAGTCTACAGCGGCCTCTGGTGGATTTATGTGTGAACAGCAGTCGCAAATGGCACTCGTGAGAGAAATCTGAGATCTCAAAAAGTGCACACAGTGGCCTCTGGCATGTTTTTTACGCTCTCCAGAAATGTATACAGGGGTACGTATCCATAATGAGCCTGGGTTGCTTTATGAGTTTCTTTCTACTTTTAAACAGTAATCAAGATAATCTGAAGCCACCGACTTCCAGAATAAAAGCTAAAAAATGTATATACATATATATAAACTATTTTATATACATGATATAGTACTAAATACTATGACTACATCAATCAATTAACGTCAATAGGTGTTTTTTTCTAACCGTCCTAAGTATATCTGCCTTTGTGTTCAACAGAAGAAACTCAAACAGGTTTGGAACAAGTGTAGGATGATCATATGGTGACAGAATTTCCATTATTACAATCACGCCCTGTTGACATGGTAAAAAAATAACCCATTTTATAAAACCATTTACACCCCAATCTACAAACACACACATGCACACTCCAATACACACACACAATAAGGATCTGCTGTTTAAACTGTAGTGAATAGCGTCTTGCTAAACACCTTTTATGCCTCTGCAGGTGCTTTTCATCATTTAAAACACACCCTATACTGTGAACACTGCTGAAATACTGCACACTGATGAGGGAAAGCATTCACAGAGTTTGTGATGATGAAGATGAGCTTGTGTCTTCATGTAGAATAGATTTGAGGATTGAAACAAAATTGATCTGCTTTATTTTAGAGGTTTAGTGAAGGCGGGATGTTTTTGACCCAAACTAGGTATACTGAATCGTAAAACAGCAGGATGGCTAATCAAATAAGACCTCAAGACTGATTAATCAAAACACAACTGGGTTTAATAGTTCATGTATTGTTGTCAGTTCACCTTTTATTGCCTTATCCTTTCTCTGTACACAGAGTTCAGTGATTTACACGAGTGACAAACTCTTTCAATAACCCCTGACTCCTGAAACATCTAGGCAGTGACAAGCACTTTTACAAAATATCCCACACAGTGTGTACAGAACAAGCTGAAGAACCAGTTGCTGGTCTATTTAAACAAGCATCAGAGCTGTCAGTTCGAAAACCACAGGAAATGACAACCCAGGCTCATTATAGATATGAACCCAGTATACATTTCTGGAGATCGTGAATTTGCAAATCCACCGGAGGCCGCTTTGTGAGCTTTTTCAAATCTCTTCAGATTTCTCAGTCCACTGACTGACTGATCGACCCATCAATACCCCCACCCACCAATTGACCCGCCCACCGCCTTTCCTAAACCCAACCAACAGGGTTTTCAAAAGCACAGATCGACCCGCCCACCACCTACCCTAAACCCAACCAATAGTGTTCTCAAAAGCACCAATCGACCCGCCCACCACCTTCCCTAAACCCAACCAACAGGGTTTTCAAAAGCACAGATTGACCCGCCCACCGCCTTTCCCAAACCCAACCGATAGTGTTTTCAAAAGCACTGATTGACCCGCCCACCACCTTTCCTAAACCTAACCGATAGTGTTTTCAAAAGCACTGATTGTCCCGCCCACCACCTTTCCTAAACCCAACCAATAGTGTTCTCCATAGCACAGATTGACCCGCCCACCACCTTCCTTAAACCCAACCAACAGGGTTTTCAAAAGCACAGATTGACCCGCCCACCGCCTTTTCTAAACCCAACCAATAGTGTTCTCAAAAGCACAGATTGACCCGCCCACCATCTTCCTTAAACCCAACCAACAGGGTTTTCAAAAGCACTGATTGTCCCGCCCACCACCTTTCCTAAACCCAACCAATAGTGTTCTCAAAAGCACAGATTGACCCGCCCACCACCTTTCCTAAACCCAACCAATAGTGTTCTCAAAAGCACAGATTGACCCGCCCACCACCTTCCTTAAACCCAACCAACAGGGTTTTCAAAAGCACAGATTGACCCGCCCACCACCTTTCCTAAACCCAACCAACAGGGTTTTCAAAAGCACAGATTGATCCGCCCACCGCCTTTCCTAAACCCAACCGATAGTGTTTTCAAAAGCACTGATTGACCCGCCCACCACCTTTCATAAACCAAACCGATAGTGTTCTCAAAAGCACAGATTGACCTGCCCACCACCTTTCATTAACCCAACCGATAGTGTTTTTTAAAACCCAGCCATTGTGCTCAACTTCTTTCTGCATCTCCCAACATTCTCTGTGAGCTACTGGGCAAACTGGTAACAGTGGAGAAGTCATCCACACAGAGGTAAGCGGTCAGCTGGTAGCGTGAAAAGAAACAGATTTCATTTGATAATGTTGACTGTTGGGTTTCACAGTGTATATAAATATATTTGTTTCAGGGACTTTGCATTAATGGATTTTTCAGCACATCGTAAAAGATTTGAAAAGTTGTTTGCTACTCTTTTGAAAAGAGTTTTGAACTCTATGTTGAAGGTAATGAGTTAATTAAACACCTCATTACTTCATCTTAAATGGAGTAAGTTCACAGTGCTCATATTGATTAGTTTAGCTCAAATGGTTTGTTGCAATCGCTTTTCTCAAACGGTTTGAGTTGCCTTAACTCATTGGGTTTTACAGCCCTCAGTTGGTTTGAGTTCTCTTCGTTTATTGGGTTTCACTGTCAAATTGCTTCGTTTACTCAAATGGATTAAGTTCACAGTGCTCATTAGCAGGGCTTAAAATTAACACCCGCGGGTAAATTTTAGCAGTGGCCTGTTAGACAGTCACTTTGGCTGGTTTAAAATAATTTTTAAATTGTGGCTTTCTTTAAAGCAGGGTTCGACTATAAGGATGACCCATTATGCGTGCAAATGTGATCTTAGAATCGAGAAACAGCACGACTAACAACAATAATTGCTTTCATGCGAGCAATAGAAAGCAGATGAATGCCAAATGAGAGGATAATCTCTGGTGCTAACAGCTGATGTGATGCGGGCGACTGTTTAAAGTGCGTGTGCACTCCTGTTTCCTTGCTTGAAGCAACCGTGCCTGAAATACAACTGTGATCGTTTCTCTTTCATATAGTTAAAAAAGTTATGCACCCACAGTCTTGCTGCTTTCAAGAGCTCCAGATGTGTCGTTTTGTAAGCAGCACCGGTTGCTTTCACTTTGAACTTTATTAATTGGCCTCAACCGTGTGCTCATCCTTCCATTATCACACACAGTATGTTTTTCACCTGCTTTCTTTTGTTTACGTTTTTTGTTAATATGGTTTAATTATCATTTTTAACAACAATATTGCTTTAATATGAGATTAACTCTCCATTTACTGTATGTGTAGTGAACTGAGAGACCTTTAGCGAGGACAGATTACTGCGCATATTTTTGATATATGACAATAATTATTTTTAAAAGTCAATTGTTTTTCTTTGTTTTGTATTTTTTTAAGAAATGTTTTGTTAAATAAAAAGTATATATCATATACTATTTAGCTTGTTTTGACTAAAATTTAAAATTTGTGGCTAAGAAATAATTATTGTTTGGAGTGGTCAGATAACTTTGGTAAATCTCTAATTTGAGTTCTGAAATAAAAACTAATTGTAATACAACATTAAAGTTTGCTCATTTTCAAAATCAATGCATATCCTGACATTTCCATTAAGCATTTTTTAATTCAATATTGCAAAATGTGCTTAAAATGGATGGATGGAAACTGTATTACTGTATTAATTTGGCGCCATGTGTCATGCAATTGGTTTCATTTTTAAGTTTTGCACCACATTGTTTAAATAGCAAATGTATTTGTGGCCAGTTGTGCGCTCATGGGTGTGCTGTATCTGAAAAGCAGGTGTGTTAATGTGCATTGTTGGTGTGCTGCTATTCAACTGAAACAGACCTGAAGCAACTACATGGTGGACCAAAGTCAATGGCACAGGGCTTTTATTTGTTATTTAAAGAGACGTATGATTGACTATTTCGACCAGAAGGCGGCCATACTGAATTTTGGACATTTCCCCCATTCATTGTAATGCATGTAGACCATCTTCATATACAGTTGAAGACTGCCCTCCTATGTTATTAGACCCCTAATCACTGATTTATTTTCTCTTTGCCATGATGACAGTACGTAATATTAGACTAGATATTCTTCAAGACACATAGTGTTCAGCTTACAGTGACATGTAAAGGCTTCACTAGGGTAATTAGGGTAAAGTTAGGGTAATTAAGCAAGTCATTGTATAACAGTGGTCTGTTCTGGAGACAATCCAACACTAATATTGCTGAAGGGGTGAATATTATTGACCTTAAAATGGCTTTAAAACAATTAAAACATAAGATAAACCCTAATGTGTTATCATAGAAAAACCCACAATACAAACCATTGTGATTTCCATCTGCCTGCTTTACTAAATGGATTGATTAAGCCTAAAGACACTTGATGAGTGATAATATGAAAGGACATGGCAACACACACCATAAACAAAACCTGGCCCTTCTGTTGATGGTGGTTTAGTTAAAGCTTTCAAACATAATGAGTTTCAATGACAATCTCTATGCAGCAATCATTAAACATTTATATTCGTTATTTACATACCCTTGTTTTTATCTAAAACTAATTTACAAATTAGTCAGACTCTTACATTCAGTTTTCAAATACTTTCCAAGTGTTGTTCACGTTACAATGTCTCCCATCCACCCCCCCTCCCCAACCATCTCTCTTCAATTATGAGATCACTAACGTCCCCCCACCCTTCACTTATGATGCCTCCCCCTAACTTCCTCACCCCCGCTTTTCCATTAGGAGTTCACTAACAAGCCTTCACTTGGAACATCATTCACCAACTCCCGCCATCCCTGCTTTTTAATTAGGAGATTTCGAATGTCCTCCAACAACCCTTCCCTTACATCTTCCACCAACTCATGCTGAACAGTATTTTTAGGGTTACCTGTGTTACTTCCAGTGGAAACGGTCCACGCATGTTTTCCTCCAGATCAATGGTGGATAAAACCCATCGTCTCTTTGTGCGAATGAGGACGGCATCCTTTCAGAAACAGAGGAGAACATCAGTTTAATAAACATTAGCAATCCTGAGCTGAAACGTCTTCAACAGCAACACATCTCTACATTTACAGTGCTAAAAATGTGTCTCTTTACATTCATATTTTCTACAGGATGCTGATCCAGTAATAGATGTGTGCGTACACATTAGATTAGTCAGAACCAAAGACACAACTGATCATCTAATCTAACAAGAAAACAAAACAAAACTGAAGAGCACAGCACGAAAATGAGCACAGCCAAATTAATATGTTGGGGAAAAATATTGAACAAAATTTAATAAAGAAAAAAAGTCAAGAGAAACATAAAAAACATATAACATGTTGACATTTAACTCTTTATAATTATTTAAAAATAAAGGTTTGTAGGTTGTATTGATGGCTCCACAAAAAAACAAGACCACCCTATTCTATTCTATTCTATTCTATTCTATTCTATTCTATTCTATTCTATTCTATTCTATTCTATTATAGTCTATTCTATTATGTTCTGTTCTATTCTATTTTATTCTATTCTATTATGTTCTGTTCTATTCTATTTTATTCTATTCTATTCTATTATGTTCTGTTATATTCTATTTTATTCTATTCTATTCTGTTCTATTCTATTTTATTCTATTCTATTATGTTCTGTTATATTCTATTTTATTCTATTCTATTCTGTTCTATTCTATTTTATTCTATTCTATTATGTTCTGTTATATTCTTTTCTGTTCTGTTCGATTCTAATCTGTTCTATTCCATTCTAATCTATTCTATTCTATTGTAATCTGTTCTGTTATTTTCTAATCTTTTCTTTTCAATTCTAATCTATTCTATTCTGTTCTATTCTATTTTAATCTCATCTATTCTTTTCTAATCTGTTTTTTCTATTCTATTCTAATTTATTCTATTGTGTTGTAGTCTATTCTATTCTAATTTAATCTTATCTATTCTTTTCTAATCTGTTCTATTCTATTCTGTTCTATTCTATTCTATTCTATAATATAATATAATATTATAATATATTATATTTAATTCTGTTCTATTTTAATCTATTCTTTCTATTCAATTCTATTCTAATCTTATCTATTCTTTTCTGATCTGTTTTTTCTATTTTATTCTATTCTAATTTAATCTATTCTGTTCTATCCTATTCCATCCCATTCTATTCTATTCTGTTCTATTCTATTATATTCTATTCTAAAGGGTTCTTTAAAGTAGGAAATGTTTTTTGGATTATCAAAGTTTTGAAACGTAGGAAATAACTGTTCTTTTGAAATATGACATATTATTTTTTGACTTGCTCTTTTTGATTACCTACCCGCTTTTGTCGACTGCTGGTGTCATTTGTGTAGGAAGCGCTCAACTCCCCAAGCTAATGGACAAACAAAAACAAACAAGAATTAAAATGAATCAACACACAATCAATAAACTAGCATCAATATTGAACAGAAACTCATCACAGCTCGTGAGGAATTACAAATATGGATCATTTTCATTCATAAGTCCACAATTGTGACCCTGGGGAATTTTGGGAGGAAACGGAGACATCTTACATTGAGATATTTGCAATATATGTATCACAGACATCTGTAATAAATTACATTTATTTCATGCATTGGTAGCGGCGCAGTGGCGCATTAGGTAGTGCTGTCGCCTCACAGCAAGAAGTTCGCTGGTTCAAGCCTCGGCTGGGTCAGTTGGCGTTTCTGTCTGGAGTTTGCATGTTCTCCCTGCGTTCGTGTGGTTTTCCTCCGGGTGCTCCGGTTTCCCCCACAGTCCAAAGACATGCAGTACAGGTGAATTAGGTAAGCTAAATTGTCCCTAGTGTATATGTATGTGTGTTAATAAGTGTGTCATCCGGGCATCAGCTGCGTAAAAACATGCTGGATAAGTTGGTGGTTCCTTCCACTGTGGCAACCCCAGATTAATAAAGGGACTAAGCCGACAAGAAAATGAAAGAATGAATGAATTATGCATTGGCTGTTTGTCTATATTTGACCAATCAGATGGGGCCATACTATATATCCCCGCCTCCCCAGTAGCTGCTGTTCTGCTATTGGCTGGGGCCGCTGAAAGCTGATCCCAGAGTTGAAAATAAATGCATGAATTATATTTGTTTCCCAGAGATGGGTTGCAGCTGGAAGGGCATCCGCTGCATAAAAACTTGCTGGATAAGTTGGCGGTTCATTCCGCTGTGGCGACCCCGGATTAATAAAGGGACTAAGCCGACAAGAAAATGAATAATTGAATGAATTATGTTGTATGCTTTGGATATGGTTGGTATTTGTATGGATATTATTTGCGAATATTTGGCAGAATATGACAAAATTTGGGATCTGAGGTTAAAAAACATCTAAATGTTGAGAAAATTGGACAAATTAACTTCTCAGCAGTTCATATTACTAATTAAAAACGAATATACTTTGATGTAGTTCCTGTCAGACAACATAATTTCTTTGTGAAACATGATCTTTAAGTTATATTATGCTGTTAGTGTTTGATAATTCGACTATTTGATAATGCATTGATGCGTAAATAAACGCCTCTGTAAGCTTCGCCTCTAATGATAAAGTGTTGATTGACATTCTTCAGATTTTCCTTTAATGACACTGTGAGATGTTGTTGAGCTTGTTTGAAGAAACCAACAACACAGAAAGCATCATCATGCCAAAAGTCTTACCAATGCTGACGGGGAATTACTAATTGTGGTCAAACCTGGTTTCAACTAGAATGTAACCTTCATGGTTCGGATCTATCATGAGACAAAGAATGAACTACTGGTTTGATGAACAGAAAGTTATTTTAAAATGATATTGATAGTTTTATATCTATATATTTAATAATTATACATACATATATATATATATATATATAACATATAATATATAACATTGAAAGACTTCTACAGATAAAACCTCTCACACATATGAAGATCCAAACAGATTTAATGTGACCTCACACCTCTTATTCTCAACATTACAGTTAATTCATTCATTCATTCATTTATTCAAACACATGCGCTATAAAGGAATTGATCAACTAAATTGGCTGTAGTGTATGAGTGTGAATGCAAGAGTGTATGAGTGTTTCCCAGTGTTGGGTTGCGGCTGGAAGGGCATCCGCTTTGTTAAACATATGCTGGATAAGTTGGCAGTTCATTCCGCTGTGGCAGCCCCGGATTAATAAAGGGACTAAGCCAAAAAGAAAACAAATGAATTAATTTACTCTTCATTTTTTAAGGTAAGTGGTTGCAAACAATCAATATGGGCTGACTTTACACAATCAAATTAAGTTGAACATCACTACATTACTACATCTGTATAAATTCAGCACATAAAAATTGTTTGCAAGCACTTACCTTAAAAAATTAAATCCAATAAAGCCTTTAAGTCACTTATTTAACCCAATGGTTGAGATAAACATATTTGGTGCTTTGTTGGGTTATTTTTAACCTTTATTAGGTTATTTATTAATAACTCATCAGTTGGGTTAAATATTTGTTGCTTTGTTGGGTTATTTTTAACCTTTATTGGGTTATTTATTAATAACTCAACCAGTTGGATTTAATATTTGGTGCTTTGTTGGGTTATTTTTAACCTTTATTGGGTTATTTATTAATAACTCATCAGTTGGGTTAAATATTTGTTGCTTTGTTGGATTATTTTTTACCTTTATTAGGTTATTTATTTATAACTCAACCAGCTGGGTTAAATATTTGGTTCTTTGTTGGGTTATTTTTAACCTTTATTGGGTTATTTATTAATAACTCAACCAGTTGGGTTAAATATTTGTTGCTTTGTTGGGTTATTTTTAACCTTTATTAGGTTATTTATTTATAACTCAACCAGTTGGGTTAAATATTTGTTGCTTTGTTGGGTTATTTTTAACCTTTATTAGGTTATTTATTAATAACTCAACCAGCTGGGTTTAATATTTGGAGCTTTGTTTGGTTATTTTTAACCTTTATTAGGTTATTTTTAATAAGTCAACCATCTGGGTTTAATATTTGGTGCTTTGTTGGGTTATTTGAACCTTAATTAGGTTATTTTTTAATAAGTCAACCAGTTGGGTTAAATATTTGGTTCTTTGTTGGGTTATTTTTAACCTTTATAGGGTTATTTATTAATAACTCGTCAGCTGGGTTAAATATTTGTTGCTTTGTTGGGTTATTTTTATCCTTTATTGGGTTATTTATTAATAACTCATCAGCTGGGTTAAATATTTGGTTCTTTGTTGGGTTATTTTTAACCTTTATTAGGTTATTTATTAATAACTCAACCAGTTGAGTTTAATATTTGGTGCTTTGTTGGGTTATTTTTAACCTTTATTAGGTTATTTATCATCCAGTTGGGTTACTGATTTAACTGATACAGAACAGCTGTATTAATATATGTGTGTGTAATGTTGTTTTTGCACTATAAAGTTTATTTAAGCTATAACACAATGATATTGTATTTTTTTTTATCAAATGACCTCTCCGTGTCGTGTTTTTATATCCGTTTCACCATCCAAGACCATCTTTTGGAAGTGTTTTGATGTGGTTAAACTGTATTGTAGATTGTGAACAGTGAGTGAAGCCGGCCTCTACAGCACACTGAGCTCCATATTCTGCTCCAGCAACACAGGATTTCTGCTTGCTCAGTTCATATCTGTCTACACTTTTCTTCTGCTTCTTCATTATTTGTGATTCTTAGTTTTGTTGACCAAAACTGTCTGGAATTTAAAATGTAATGGAGACAATCTTTTTCAATATTTTTGAATACTGCTTTATTATTTTACACAGTCATAAATATAGAATTAATAGTACTAGTAATAGTAGCAATAGTAATACCAGAATGGAAAAAAATACATTTAATCAAAATAACAAAATGCTTTGGGTTAAAATATATAACCCAATGCACTGGGTTAAAATAATCCATAGTTGGGAAGGTGCTACCCGCTTGTTAAGTGTGACGTCACGCGAAGCGGCTTGCGGGTCCAATCGCTCTATTCAACTGAATGGGGAGACTCATGAAATGGTAATAATAAAAGTTTACAAAGCGATTTAATACTTCATAAAGTATTAATACTTCATTATAAATACTTCATATATATATATATATATATATATATATATATATATATATATATATATATATAAAGAAATACTTCATAATAAATCACGATCGCAGTATATATGTCCATGCCTGATATACAATGGCCAGAAAGTGATTCATTTTTTTATAAATAGTTAAAATGTTGGTATTTGATATGCAGCAAGCCCAGATATTGTTGTGTACACTATGACTTTATATAAAATTAACTGTAATGTGTGATATGAAGAAAAAGTGATCATAAACCAATGATTTCTCAACTCAAATGAGTGGCGGCTTGGACCCAGAAACAGTATTACAAACGTCACCAACACGTCACCACTTAACAAGCAGATAATAACCTATAGTTGGCTTATATATTGGGGTATTTTTAACCCAATTATTTTAACAGAGTACAGAATAATACACTTAGAGAACACTATAGTATAAATGACTATAGAAAATTATAGCATTGTAAACATTTTAGGCTTGGAACAATTCAACTTTCTAAGATGTTTATTTTCTGCAAGTTATATAAGAGAATGGTGTTCGTAAGATGATGCTACAGCATGCTGTTTCCCTCACATAACATGCTATCAGGTTCATACCACCTGCTAAAAGACAAACTACACACTGTTCAGCTCTTTACTAAAGCATATTGCTGATTTATCAAAATAAAGCCACTTCAAAACACAAGTGGGCACCAATACAGGTAAACAAATCAGCTGAGGACGTCACCTGTCTCCATAGAAAGGCCATTTGATATTCAGATACTGTTCCTCACGGGCTGCTCTTTGTTTTAACGCTGCATTTGACTGTAGTTTAGTTTCCTCCTAACGTGTGTGTGTGCTGTCGATTGAACTGCTGCTTGCTAAACCTTCTTCCTTAGTGATCGGCAGTATTATATTTCACACATATCACACTGTGAAGAGCATTTCAGAACTCGAAGACAGCTATCTAACAACACTGTAGAAGCCGCAGGGCTCCTTACAATTCATTCAAGATGTCCCAACACAAACCAGTTAGGGTAACTTAAGAAAAGCTAAGCTAAGAGTAACACTGTAACATACTGCTCTATTAGTTAATATTCATTCATTTTCCTTTAGTCCCTTTATTTACCAGGGGTTGCAACAGTGAAATGAACTATTCCAGCATGTTTTACACAATGGATGACCTTCGAGCCGCAACCCAGCACTGGGAAACACCCATATACACTCATTTACACAGACTCTTGTACACAATGGTCAGTTTAGTTCATCAATTCCCCTATAGCGCATGTGTTTGGACTGTGGGGGAAACCGGAAACACCAACTGACCCAGCCAGGACTCGAACCAGTGACCTGACTGTCTGTGTGTCTGTCTGTCTGTTCGTCTATGTCTGTCTTTTTACTCATTTATTTATTTATTTATATTTATTATCTGTCTCTCTATATGTCTGTCTTTTTATTTATTTATTTATTTATTTATTTATTTATTTATTTATTTATTTATTTATTTATTTATTTATTTATTTATATTTATTATCTGTCTATTTATTTATTTATTTATTTATTTATTTATTAGTGGTCCGTCTATGTCTGTCATTTTATTTATTTATTTATTTATTTATTTATTTATTTATATTTATTATCAGTCTGTCTATTTATTTATTTTTATTTATTTATTAGCTTTCCGTCTGTGTATTTTTATTTATTTATTTATTTATTTTATAATAAAAAAATTTATTAGCTATATGTCTATGTCTGTTTTTTATTTGTTTATTTATTTATTAGCTGTCGTCTCTGTCTGTATTTTGTATTTGTTTATTTATTGATTTTATTTATTAGCTGTCCGTCAATGTCTGTCTTTTTATTTATTTATTTATTAATTAATTTATTTATTTATTAGCTGTCCATCTATGTCTGTATTTCTATTTATTTATTTTTTATAATTTTTTTTCTTTTATTACCTGTGCATCTATGTCTGTCTTTTTATTTATTTATATAAATATTATCTGTCTGTTTTATTTATTTTTATTTTTTTATTTATTAGCTGTCTGTCTGTATTTTTATTTATTTACTTAATAGCTGTCCGTTTATGTCTGCATCTTTATTTATTCATTTAATTTAATTTTTTCTTTATTTCATTTTATTAATTAGCTGTCCGTCTATGTCTGTCTTTTTTATTTATTTTTTATTTTTTTATTAATTTATATTTATTTATTATCTGTCTCTCTATATGTCTGTCTTTTCATTTATGCGCTTATTTATTGGGTTTGTTAATTTTTAAAGTTTACCCAGCAACAGAAACGTGGCATGTTGCCTTGGCAGCTGGATGAACAAATATAGTGTTTATTATTTATAAACTTCATTTCAGTTTTAAGTAACAAAAGTTTTTGTTAAGCTGTTTTTTTAGCAATTACAACCCTGATGTAAACAAGTGTAATAGTTTTTATTTTACAGTCTTTAGATTTAGTACATAGATCATAGATCGATTTTGCATGTGCAAAGAGTCTACAGGCGTATTTTCTATCCAACTGCAAATTTATATGATTAATTCCAGTGCAAATATCTAAAAACTCTTAAATTAAGAAGCATTTTCTTGAGATAAGACATGCACAAAATATAGTGTTGTTTTCAGTAATAATGAGTCAAAATGAAGTGAGTTTGTCCTTAAAACAAGCAAAATAACCTGCCAATGGGGGAAGCAGAATATTCTTGTTTCACTTTGACAAAAGATTATTTTGCTTCGCCCATTGTCGGATTATTTTGCTTCTTTTAAAGAAAAACTCACTTTATTTACTCATTATTTTTTAAAATAAGCAAAACAATCGGATGCATTTTTGTTTTATCTAGAAAATGCTTCTTGATTTAAAAACAATTGTAGACATTTGAACACAAGACAACAAGACAAAAACTTTAATAAGACAAGGTTTTTGCAGTGTAGACTCAAAACTCTACTTGCGTGAGATATATTTTGACAAAAATTACATTAAATCCAGTCATCAGATAAAACAATTAACACCGACGTTAGTCATCCATTACATCAGATCATCAAGATCAAGATAAAGAGTCTGACTCATTGTAAACAAACAAAAAGAAAAGTTGAAGCTACTCACAGTAAACAGAAGCAGGAATACAGCAGCCTTCATCATGCTGGAGCTCCAGAGGTGAAGATCAGATTAACACCAGTAAAAAATCACCTGAGAGCAGAAGATCAGAGAGACACACGCAGCCGTCTACATTTGTGCAGTTCAGCGAGTCTACGAGGATGTGTGTGTGTGTGTGTGTGTGCATGTGCGTGTGCTAACGACACAATGACTCATCCGTCAACATCAGGCCTTCAGGGCAGCAGTCTGGGAGTGGCAAATCATGCAGTAAACGGAGTAAAATTTCACCCAGTTTCTCCATTCAGCGGAAAGAGGACAAACTGGCTGCTCGGCTTACCATCTGCCAAGGGAAAACACACACACGAATTCATGCGCAGATTAAACATTCAGCTCTACATGCAAATTAGGTTTACCTGGTGTGTGTCAAGCCTGGGCCTGTATTTACTACCACACACTGGAAATGTGAACTGTAGCTCCAGCACAGGGGCATAACAGGTGGTCTGACAATACACATGCTTTTAATATAAATATGTTTATTCTTTATTTGTACAGTTATTAAAATTAATAATGGACATATAAGCCATCTAGATGTGCATATATATGAATGCTATACCACAGCAAGTTTTTAATTTAGTGGCTAATTCATATGATCGTACTTGTACAAAGTAGTATGATTTGCTCTTACCCTAATGAGGTTTGGGTTTAGGGGCGGGGTTTGGTGCCACGCCTCCTTTTAAAAGTCGTAAATTTTCATAAGAACTGAACTCGAACTGCGAATTTGCATCAATTAGCCACTGAAGAAAATACAGTTACGTTTCCTCATGAAATTAGGCTGTATGTATATAGATATATATACTTTATTAGGTACACCTTACTAGTACCAGGTTGGACCCCTTTTGTCTTCAGAACTGCTTTAATCCTTCATGGCGTAGATTCAGTAAGCTACTGGAAATATTCCTCAGAGATTTTCCTCCACACAGTTGCTGCAGATTTGTCGGCTGCACATCCATGATGCCTTTTGTTCCACCACATCCCAAAGCTGCTCTATTGGATTGAGCTCTGGTGACTGTGGAGGCCATTTGAGTGCAGTGAACTCATCGTCATGTTCACCAGTCTGAGATGATTGAGCTTTATGACATGCTGCGTTATCCTGCTGGAAGTAGCCATCAGAAGATGGAGACACTGTGCTCATAAAGGGATGGACATGGTCAGCAGCAATACTCAGGTAGGCTGTGGCGTTGATGCTCAATTGGTACTAATGGACCCAAAGAAAATCTCCCCCACACCATTACACCACCACCACCAGCCTGAACCGCTGATACAAGGCAGGATGATCCATGCTTTCATGTTGTCGGAGCCGAGCATCTGAATGTGTCAGCAGAAATGGAGACTCATCAGAGCAGCAACGTTTCTCCAATCTTCTATTGTCCAGTTTTGGTGAGTCTGTGTGAATTGTAGCCTCAGTTTCCTGTTCTTAGCTGACAGGAGCGGCACCCGGTGTGCTCTTCTGCTGCTGTAGCCCATCCGCCTCAAGGTTGGATGTGTTGTGTGTTCAGAGATGCTCTTCTGCAGAGCTCGGTTAAGTTGTGACGTCAGGTGAGCATCTAAGGACAATGTTATGTTGACGTTGAATAACGACATCAAATGATGTTGATATTTGGTTAATTTTAGGTTGTGTGAAACTAAAATCCACATAAAATGTGCCAACATCTTAAACCAATGACCATATTGACGTCAAATACTAACATTTATTCATAACTTCATTAAACAACATCATTAGACATTAATATTTGGTCAGTTTTAGGTTGGACATTGACGTCAGCCTGATGTTGGGTATCCAGAGTATCTTAAAAACTTTGCCCTGGTGTTTTCAGAGAGTTTCAGTTTCAGTCACCTGATACTACATCCAGTCATTTAGCAGACACTTTTGTCCAAAGTGACTTACAATTGAGGAGGAATTCAGCAAATCAGCATGAAGAGGTTATACACAGGTATTATGCTAATTATACAGAGACTCTGTTAGTGCTCAGAGGACTAAATGCTAGAGTAAGGGAGGGAGGAGGGAATGTTGAGAGGGGAGCAGAATCCACTCACCTGTCTGAGGCACACTATATAAATGCATGCTGATTTTATTTTGTGTGCGTGTGTGTGTGTGAGAATGTGTTTGTGCAAATGCGCAAAAACTGGTGCAGTGTCCATTAAAGTGTCGGAGAGATGAGAGATGAGAGGTGGTGTGTCAAGCTCACTGCATTTTTTTGTGTGGACAAACAGCCAAACCAAAGTGTTCGTGCGGACAGAGCCTGAAGGTCAAACCTCTTCCGGAGCTGGTCTGAAACACATTCCTGACAAAGCTGGACAGGTCTAAATGCACTGAAACCACATTTGTCAAATTTTGTTTTCTTAAAATGTTAAAACAAACATGTGAGAGCAGGTTATAGGCTGTATGGCATAGATTCAACAGTGCATATGCAACAGCAACACCACAGATTACAGTTTGGGATGCTATTGTCTTATTTTATTAATTCATTCATTCATTTTCTTTTCGGCTTAGCCCTTTTATTAATTTCCACAGGGAAATGAACCACCAAGTATTCCAGCATTTGTTTTACACAGCGGATGCCCTTTCCAGCTGCAACCCATCACTGGAAAACATACATACATACTCATTCACACACATACACTACAGACAAATTAGCTTAGCCAATTCACCTGTACCACATGTGTTTGGACTGTGGGGGAAACCAGAGTATCCGGAGGAAACCCACACCAACACGGGGAGAACATGCAAACTCCACACAGAATCACCAACTGAGGCTCGAACCAGAGACCTTCTTGCTGTGAGGCAATTGCTCTACCCACTGCGCCACCGTCTGCCATGGAGATAACAATAAAGCAATAATTACAGCAAAATATTCATTCATTCATTTTCTTGTCGGCTTAGTCCCTTTTTTAATCCAGGGTCGCCACAGTAGCACATTTTTACGCAGTGGATGCCCTTCCAGCTGCAACCCATTTCTGGGAAACATCCACACACATTCACTCACACTCATACACTACAGACAATTTAGCCTACCCAATTCCCCTATAGCACATGTGTTTGGACTGTGGGGGAAACCAGAGCATCCGGAGGAAACCCACGCCAACACAGGGAGAACATGCAAACTCCACACAGAAACATCAACTGACCCAGCTGAAGCTCGAACTAGCGACCTTTTTGCTGTGAGGCGACCTACTGCGCCACTGCGTCGCCTACAGCAAAATAATAAAACATAAGAAATGACAAATAATAATCAAATATTTCTTAAAATGATGATTATATAAATGATTAATGATCAAATCATTAAATAAATTCATTAAATGAAGAATAAATGAACATAAACAACTGAAAATAAAGCGCAACACAAATGAACGGTTGTTTTCTTGAAGCAACACACACATAAGTTGCTACAAGGATTCTCAGACACTTAGGCCCCTTTTACACTTGTGTTAGTTTTAAAACGGCGTTTTAAGTCAAAAACAATTAATAACCATACTAGCGTTTCTGAACATATCTCCGTCCACACTACGCCACCAAAAATGTATATCACGTGATCATTCGCGCACTCTGGTCATCGTGTTCGAGTATTAACAGGAAGCATGTGTCTCGCTCAGCATTTGGTTATTGTTATACAACAAACGCCGGTTGAACAATGAACGCGAAGGCAAAGAAAGCAAGAGAGGTATTTTTGTGGACAGACGACGAGGTCGAGACGTTACTAAACGTAAAAAATGAATAACTGCACAATGGAGCCTAAAACAGACAACAGTGCAAACAACGCTCCCATTTCTGTGTCCATGTTGTTGTTTACAGTGAAGGCTGGTCTGCTGTCTTCCGGTAGCGTTAAGCCATGTGTTATAGTCATGTGATAGGGGCTTGACGAATAGGGGAAGGATACGCAATGACACAAAAGCCCCAATCAGCTTGCAAATCTCAGCAGCCTCGCCTCCTATTTCAGATGTCTCCGTTTTCCCTCATCCACACTGAGATGGAGCAGCAGCGCTTCAGAATGAAAACAGCCTCTCCAGCGTTTCCAAAACGCTCAATTTTCGGCGCTCGAAAACTCCGGCGTAGTGTGGACGGATGGCGTAACCGTGGCAAAACTTCAAACTAAAACGCATTAGTGTAAACGCGGCCTTAGTTAGATTCTTCACATTCGAAGGCCCAACACTTCCAACACAGGAGAATAGTGTAAATGTAGCCCCGTATACATTTTTAGAGATCCCTAATTATGTAGCCAGAGGAATATATGGCTGCATTTCGCCTTTAAAAAACGTATATGGTGGGGTGGTATGACACCGCAGACAGCTTTTCTTTTAGCGCTTTTTCAGTTTCTTTTAGCGATTCCAGCTTACCACCGTATGGATGCCTTTACCAATGTTACCAGTTTGCCCAGTAGCTCGCCGCATATGACGACAGACTAGAGGCGTGATCTGAAAATGTGGTAACAATCAGGCGGTCATGAAGGCTTTTCTTTTTCAGGATTGCTTTTAAAAATATATATGTTGACTTAGGAATAAGGAGGAGGGTGAGGGATAGGTCAATCAGTCAGTCAGTCAGTCAGTCAGTCAGTCAGTCGACATTGGCCTCTGGGGGATTTCCGTGAGAACAGCAGGCGTAAATGGCACTCGTTAGAGAAATTTGAGATCTGAAAATGCGTGTACACAGCGCCCTCTGGTGGATTCACAAAAACTGCAAAAAACGTAGCTCCTGGGATGTATTTGGTGCTCTCCAGAAATGTATACAGGGTACGTAATCAGAACGAGTCTGGGTTAAGCAATTCCTACATTGTTCTGAAACTCCATTAAAATATGCATGTTGTGTGCTCCTCTATCATCACTAAAAACTCATAATCACACTGCAAAAAATGCTTTTCTTACTTAGATTTGTTGTCTTGTTTCTAGTCCAAATATCTAAAAGTTCCTAAATCAAGGAGAATTTTCTAGACAAGCAAAACATATCGTCTTGTTTTGAGAAATAATATGCCAATATTAAGTGAGTTTTTCCTTAAAACAAGCAAAATAATCTGCCAATGGGGTAAGCAAAATAATCTTACGTCAAAAGAAAAAACAAGATTAATTTGCTTACCCCATTGGCAGATTATTTTGCTTGTTTTAAGGAAAAACTCACTTAATTTTGGCATATTATTTCTCAAAACAAGACAATATGTTTTGCTTGTCTAGAAAATTATTCTTGATATAAGAAATTTTAGATATTTGCACTAGAAATAAGTAAAAAAAATCTAAGCAAGAAAAGCATTTTTTGCAGTGCACTCATCTGAGTTCATCAATGAGGCTCCCTCATAATCAAGGAGGCTTTGAACAAACAACCAAGCTTTTATTCACTCGTGCCACATTTGTCATGATGACAGGAGCGCACAGAACACAACCCAAACAACATATCCTCTGTCATTTTGAGTGATGAGCGGATTATTGCTTTCTTAAAAGCCAACAGACACTGTATAATGACTGCACAATGCTGCAAAAT